ACTTTTGAGAACAATGGTAGAAGGTAAATAGATAAGTATTTCAATGAATTCTCAATAGTATTTTGTGTCCTTACAAATGATGATACTTCTTCCTTTTATAGTTCATTCTAGGTAAAGGAATAAAGCCTCAGTTTTAATGATATAATCATGAGCAATAAATGACATTAAATAAGCCGTTATACAATCATTCCTATTAAATACCAACTTTATAACGTATCAGACATTTAATAATGAATTTGGACTCCTTTCTATCATCTGATCATTGCTTTCAATGCCTTCTAATCCGTTGGCTGTAAACAATTTAAATTGGTACGAGACTCGTATCTATACGTCGTCTCGTGCTTATTTAAATTCTTCTTCCCGTGGCTGTTTTCACCGTGCCTCTTAGTCAATTGCTGTTCTTTGACCATTCAACTAATCCACGTGTCATGCCACATCATTTTAATATAAATTCAGTTTTTTTCCAATACAATACTTATGGCCTCCACCTTAATGATAAGGCGCAAAATATTCACTGGCTTGATTACATTAGACAAAATAATAGTTACTTTAGCCACTATTATCTATCTTAGAGTGACGTTTTCCCCTTTGCCATATGGAACATTTGGAAAAATAGGAATGCTAATAATCACAATAATACTTCTCACAAACTACAATGGACAACAATTATTAACTTATCTCTTGAGTATAAGCTCATGACTGAAAAATACATTACAAACTCCCCGCACAAATCTATAAAGGTAATAATGGCACAAGCCACAACAAGGTTGGCTTAAACTAAATATAGATGGTGCCTTCAATGCTGATAAAAGCCAAGGTGAAATTGGAGGAGTTGTCAGAAACCATGCAGGCCGCTGGATAATGGCGTTCACCATGAAAGTGACCACACTCTCATCTGCTCAAGTGGAACTTCAAGCTCTACAGGAAGGCCTCCAGATGGTTATCACCCACAACCTGCTTCCAGTAGAAATTGAAACGGATGCATCAGAAACAATAAATATGATTGAACATGACCACCCTACTTACACAAGTTTAATTTATACATGCAAGTTGTTACTTCTTCAAGCGAGGCAGAAGGGGCAGGTAACCCTCAAGCATAGCTTCAGGGAAGGAAACGTAGTTGCATATGTTTTGGCTAGGGATGTACTCATGCAGTCCAACATAATTAAGCTTTGTCTTTTGGCTACCCCACCTGAACCGGCGATGACATAGTATCAAAAGGACATAAAGGGCTTTTATTCTGTAAAAATTACTTCTGCTAATATATGCACTAAGTTGGTTGCGTTAGGGAATATTGATGCCTTAGAAGGCTGTAGTGCAAATGTAAGCGCCAATTGCGGCAGTATGGGTTGTAATATGTCAAAACTTGACACTTAGTTATTATTAATATATTTTCTACTGTTAAAAAGAAAACCCTTCTTGATGGTTGCATAATGGTTGAACACTAATACAGAGATTCTTTGTAACAACTGCTCATTGAATGTTGTATATATGCTCCAACCAATGTCGTCCTTTAAAATCTTCGTTCTCAGTTCCAATTTGCCTTCAGAATTTATTCAGCACCGATCACATGTTTGTATTCGATGTTAACTATTTGCTGACTCATATCTTACATGTTTTCAGTTTCAAGTGTCATCTCGTCATTTATCCACCTGTCGCTAATCAATTTTACCCCATATACCTAGTAACTAGTCCTCCACCTTCCACATGACAAAAAAGAAAAAGGAAAAGAAAGAAAAAGCATACAAAGTAGCAGGAGAGAACCGTGACTTATAGCATAGACTGGAGACACTAATAAGAGAATCTAACACATAATTTATGTCGCCCCAATTTCTATTGGTCCTCTCTATGTAGTAATAAGAAAATTTAAATAATGTACTTTTTTATAACATCATCATATTAAGATGACATGCAATTATAGATAACTGCCAATATGAGCCTGTCAATTTAATTATCTAGACTATATATAAAGTAGCTAGTACATAATAACTTGCTATTATAGCTAGCTAAAGTATATTACTACTGTAAAATTTCGTTAAACCATCGGTATTTAAGTTACATTGACTTCCTTTTAAAAGTAATATATAGTAGGAGAGAATTAGGAAAAGAAGCAAAAAGTGAAAAACAAACTGAGAAAAAGAAAGAACAATAATTACATTAATGGCTATGCTTTTTTTGCACCAAGGAATTTTTTGTAACCACTAAATTCTGATAGAGAAAGAGAGAGTATAAACTGTTGACAGAAATATTTGGTTGCTCTATTAATTACATTCAAAAAACCAATAAATTATTTATATGTATTTAATGAATTTTATAACATAAGTATAAGATTCTGGTCGAAACTGCTGGGTTCTATCCAACCCGTAGCTGAACTCTAGCTCCGCCTCTGATATTAATTACAATTGATAAGGGGATAACTAATCAAACTGCTCTTTCGAACTGGCCTACGCGGGAAGTCAACTAAACACCATTGAGGATATTGGATAAAATAAGAATAAATGGGACACCTTAGTGTGCTTGATATATGATATAAAATATCTTTCGAAAATGTTGAATAAAAGACATTTTTATATTGTTTGGCTATCAAAAAATTATTTTCAGTTGAAATATTTTCTTCAAGATGGCAGAAAATGATAAATTCCTCACCTTTGCGCGGAAGCCATTTTACTTCAAATTCTTTGTGAACTCTTAACTTCATATTATTATTTGACCAGCACATACACTATTGTCAATCTTTAATACTAAAAATTTTCATCAAAATCACCATTGAATTCGCTAATTTTATTATCAACCTCTAATAAATATACTTTTTGCAAAATATTTTTCACTCTTCAATCAAACACAGAAAAATATTCCGGGATTAATTATCCTGGGATCAGTTATATATCTCACTCTATACCTATAGAGATAAAAAAAACACTACAATTGCGGGATAATTAATCTCGGGATTAGTTATACCATAATTTTAACCTAATCAAATATGAGATAAACTCATCTCAAATTTAATCCGGAATTAATTATCCAAATCTATGGTACCAAACGAAAAAACAAAATTATCCGTTAAAAGTCAAATGTCCCAGAACCAAAGCAGTAATGACAATGGAGCTGTCTTTGTGACTTTGTCATCTGTGTCCGTGTATCAGAGGGTGGCAGTTGGAGGAATTAAAACTTATGCCAAATTGGAAAGCAACATGCATTTACGTAGTAGAAGATAACGGTTGAGCTTGAACTGGACCTACCATATGATATTGTGCGAAAAAGTGTGGAACTTTTGCTACTATATAATTGGCTCAAATAGCTTTGCTTCTTGCATATCTAGGGTTTTAGAGTTGAAGTAAAAATGGGTTTATCAGCTCGTTTTCTTGGGTGTTTTCTTTTGATTGTTCTCTTTGTTGATTGTGTGGTGTTTGCTGATGTCAATGGAGCTGAAGATGAGAAGTTCCTCCTTGGACATAAACGTCCAACGTATGGGAAACGTTTTGGACGTGGGATTTATGGTAAGGGTTTTGGAGGTGGAGGTGGATTAGGAGGTGGTGGTGGTCTAGGTGGTGGTGCAGGTGGTGGTTTAGGTGGAGGAGGTGGATTAGGAGGAGGTGGGGGTCTAGGAGGTGGTGGTGGACTAGGTGGAGGAGGTGGACTTGGTGGGGGTGGTGGTTTTGGCGGTGGAGCCGGAGGAGGACTTGGTGGAGGTGGTGGACTNTTTGGTGGTGGTGGAGGTGGTGGTATTGGTGGTGGTGCTGGTGGAGGGTTTGGAGCTGGTGGAGGTGTTGGCGGAGGTGGTGGTTTAGGAGGTGGAGGTGGTGGCGGCTTTGGTGGTGGAGGCGGCATTGGCGGTGGTAAGCATTGATCATCGATCAATACCACCTTCTTGCTTTACATATGTATAAAAGCTAAGAAAGTGATCAAAGATATTATGTACTATAGTTGTTTTGTGAAACTTGTTAAAAAGGAGTGCTACTTAAACAAAAGTTTGCATTTGTATCTTTACATTAAAGTGGTTTTGTTCCTTAAAGTTTCTTTACATCTTGCATGTAAAGCTTGTGGACAATTGTATTATCCAACGATATCAATAAAAATGTGGCTTTCCAAGTGTGTTAGATTATATTCTCTCTTCTAAAAGCTTGTTGGAAAGAAAGAATCACAAAAATACATATAAATGATACAAATATGTGAAAGATATAATAAATCAAGAAGCTGTTCTTTAATTTAGTGAATCAAAATCCAATAAACAAAGAGTCAATCCAAAAGAAACACCCCAAACACAAAGTTACACCCAAAAAAAGAAGAAGGAGAAACTGCAAAAACAACAATCTTGTTAAAAAATCATATACATAAAAATGATACAATAGGAAAGGATAGAATATAACAAGATTTTTTTTTTTTTGCAAGAAACCATAATAATAATTATGCCTTAGTTTCGAACAAATAGCCTAGACACGACAAGCAATGTTTCACATACTATGTCCCAATACAAACTTCACTTATAACAACAACAACAATAACAATAATTCGAACTTTAGTACATAAAATTCTAATATCTAGATACATATTCGAACTTTAGGACACGATATCCTAAAAATTGTAGGCTTGCATACAGACAAGGATTGCGGTGCAATAAATGGCTACATATACAAATAAATATAAATTAAATTGGACTACTGGACTCCTCAGTAACTGTTTAAGGTGGATCCTTGTGTTTAATTGATTCAAATTGGGCCGCATTCACTGCTTCTGAACTTCGGGTTTATTTGTAACACCCCATATTATAGACAGAGTTCCACATCGGTAAAACACAAGAGGGATGCTGGGTATATAAGTTAACAAACCTTAGATCCATAGTGACGCAATTTAAACCCGTGAGGGCCTAGGCCCAGAGCGAACAATATCACTAGCGGGCTGGGGTGTTACAGATGATATCAGAGCCAGGTTTGTGTCAGCCTTGCCGATGGTGGGTCAAAGTTCAACTGAGTTTAGGCAAATCCCGGTTAGGCGGGGCAAACCTCAGTGCTGAGTCTAGGCGAATCCCATGCGGTGGGGCAAACCTCAGCGAGGACGCTGAGTCCATAAGAGGGAGTGTATGTAACACCTCAGACTATAGACAGAGTCCCACATCGGCAAAACACAAGAGGGATGCTGGGTATATAAGTTAACAAGTCTTAGACCCTAGTGACGCATTTTAAATCCGTGAGGGCCTAGGCACAAAGCGGACAAAATCACTAGCGGGCTGAGCTGTTACATTATTGGGCTCCAACATTTTCTTATTCTTTTGTTGAAGGTGTACTAATAATGCCAAACTATGCCTTATACAAAGACACACACGGACGTAGCAAATATAATCTGAGTAATTCTGCCTAGAGTCGAACCACAGAGAATTAACCTATTAATTACTTTTGACTGATTTACTAAATTCACCGAATCATTTTCCCCAAACTTTGTAATTCACAATTGATGATATTTCTAACAACTAAAGTCTGAAAATAATTAACAGCTGAAAATTAACTATGCTTGATGTGTAAACAGTTGGAATAAGGTCTAAGGTAATGGTTTCCCCCGTTGGTGATTTCCTTGGTTATACGTTTCTTATAGTGATGCCTTAGTTGTCTCTATCAATCAAGAACTCTCCGGCTATCATAAATCTCTCTCAAGCAATTATGATAATTTAGTAGACGCACTCTCTCAAGCTACGCTAGCTAGATTCACATTACCATTCTTTTAGATTGGACCCGAGGTATCGTTATCTCTAATCCAATCTCTAAACCCTCGGTTATGACTCTCGTCTATACTGCGGGAGTGATGTTATTCCAACAACTACCTAAATATGCACTCTCTCTCTCTCTCTCAAGAAGATACATAATAAATAGGAACGGATAATTGAGGGTCCTTTCAACTAACCACAATCAAAACGTAGATGAACAAATAGAGATTAACAACCAATTCAAACTATATTAATATAACAACCAAGTCATCCCTCAACGGGTTTCACCAAAACCTTAGATTAAAGTATTTAGCTACTCATGACAACGTAAAAATAAACTACGAAAATATTCATAATGGAAAATTGCAAGAAAAAATAAAAGAGAATAAGAACTATGATGTTTTGGGTGATCTCTCACACGTGTTCTTCTTGCAAAAGAAATCTCAAAATAAGCCTTCCTTCTCTTGGTCAAGTTTCCTACATCTTATAAGGGTTTTACAAAAGTTTTCCCGAATTGACACTTTGGCTCCTTAAATTTCTGGACTGTGAACATGCTGCCGTGGCGTCGACCGCGGCGCTGACCGCGGAGAACACTGACTCCAACCACGGCGCGGACCGCGGTGGCAACCGCGGTGAGTATGATGGGCCATTTGTCTCCGCGTTCTTCTCTTTTTGCTCTTTTGTGTTTGGGTACTTCTTGAGTGGGTGTTTTCTTTACGTTATTGCCTCTAAGCACTTCATGTTGCTTCCTCACATCTTATATTCCCTGCGAAACCAAATAGCATTAATTAAAGCATTTTATTGGCAACTTACATTATAAAACAACAACAAAGCATGGGCAATTATGGTGTAAATAACAACTATATAGCCTATTATCATGTACCCTTCCTCTTGCCTCACTGATCTTCGAGTTATTTTACTTTTACATTAGTTATCACATGGACTCAGAAGCGGATGCAGTGTTGTAGTACTTGGTTCATCTGAACATTCGCTTTACATCTAAAAATTAATTTGAATTGTAACAAATAGTACCTCTGAGCTCATAATTTTAAAAATACATTTCAATGCTAATTAGTGTCACACCTCCTTTTTTCCGAGGGGATATGTAGTTTTTTCAATTAAAGTAACATTAATCGAAATAGAATTATTTATTCAATTTCAGAGTCGCCACTTGGAATAATTATGGCTTCCCAAGTCACCGGTTTATTTTAAAATTCCAAATCGAAAAAATTTGACTCTGTTTTAAAGTTTACGAAAACCAAAAGACCGGGTAAGGAGTTCTGTTAACCCAGGAGAAGGTGTTAGGCATTCTCGGGTTCCGTAATTTTTAGCACGGTCGCTCAACTGTTGATAATTAGCCTAATTATCTAATTTATTACACATTTAAAACTCATTTTGCATTTTTATCTTCTAACCGCTTTCATTTAATTTGATCACCTCTTAGTGTTTATGAAATTTATTTGAACAAGTCGCGATGTCGCACACTCGTTGTTTTTTGTGTACATTGCAAATCGCGTCACGTGAAACGCACCCGCGACTTACAACATGTTTATTTTATTATTATTTGAAGTTGAGGTCAAGTCGCATGAAATGCACACTTGAATTGGACTTGCGTATCGTGACCATGCCATGGGAACCGTACTCATAATCACGATGATTTATTACCTATCACGCCTAAAGCAAGTTACTATGTTTAAAATTATTTATTTTCCTAAGGTTTGAGGTTACATGGGGAGGTCTAGAATTATAGATTTATTTGTCGACAAGGTGACCAAGCTAAATTCGAGCTATTGGCGAGTTAATACTTCACTGGTCATCTAAATTTATTTATATGTTTGATTACGTTTGGGGCAACTCAATTTCAAGAGAAGATAGTCAATCAATAATGAAAAGGAAATCTAACAACGTGAACAACATTTACATCATTGCTTATTGGATTCTGATGGGTCATATAAGAGGAGTAAACGGGCCTATGTAGTAAGCCCAAACTCTTCCAAAATTTGGATTAATAAAGCTTGCATGCAAAAAAAGGGGGGTGACACAGTTACCCACAAAAATAAAATTATTTATCCTTGTCTATTCATTTATTTTTTTACCCATAAACTAATTACATTTCCTACCCATAGTAGTTTTTGTGGGGAATTTTTTCTTTATTCTCCAATTCTTTTTTATTTCTATGCTTCTTTTCTTTTCTTTTTCTTTTCTCCTTTTCTTCTTAATTTTTTCTTTTTTCCTTTTGTAATTTCATTTAACTTCTTTTTTTATATTCTTTTTCTTTTTATAGTCTAATTTTATTTACCGTTTTCACTATTTTTTATAATTATTTTATAATATTACTAAAGAAAAATTAAATTGTGTACTAATTAAATGTAGCTAATACAACCAAAAAATATTAACCAACATATGATACCAGTATAGTATATAGATATACCAACAAGGTATACAATTATATGTAAAGAGTTAAAAAAATTTTAATTCAATTATTAAACTGAAATAATATCAGTTGTCAATAAAAGTTTCAAAAAATTCTAAAAAGATCTAATTGTAAGAGTATATCATTATATATNTAAAAGGGAAAAAGCAAGTGAATTTACGGGTAATAAGTATACTATTATAGTATATTGTATACTATTACAATATACTGTTACAGTATATTTCATATTATTACAGTATACTATAACAATATATTGTATACTATAATAATATACCGATGAAGTATAACTATATACTCCGATAGTGTATTGTATACCATAGTGGTATACTATATAGCTATCATCCTTGCATTAGTAGAATGTTGACATTACTCCGTAGAAAAAAAAAATCAAAAATTGAAGGACTTATGTGGAATAAGCATATAGGACTTTAGTAATAATCCACAGTGAAGGAAAAAAGAAACTGATGTTCAATATTGCTGGAAAGTTCTTGCTTACAACCCTCCTACGTCGGATAGTCTCATCTTGATTTGTGTTTGAATTTTAGAAATAGAAAATTTGTTAATAAAGAGTGTTTTACCTTTTCTAATGGATTTACTTAACCGCAAATACAATTTACTAGATTGAATAAGTTTCAAACACTGAATGATTAAAAATATTGAATCCTCCCTTAACTTTTCTCTTTCACACACTGTGGGTTAGGTCGTTTACCAATGCGAT